GATATATAATTTTTAGACTTGTACATTAAAGACGGAAAAGTAGAATTACAATCTCATATTGTTAAAAAGATTTTAGATTTTCCGGATAAATTAGAAGAAACGAAGTTGCTACAAGCATTTTTAGGATTATTAAATTATGGTCGCAATTTTATTCCCAAATTAGGACAATTAGTAGGACCATTATATTCAAAATTAGGAAAACATGGTCAAAAATATTTTAATACTTAAGACATAGAGTTAGTTAAGAAAATTAAATCTTTAGTTACTCAGTTAGAACTCTTACAACTCCCACTTGAAAATAGTTATAAAATAATTCAGATAGATGCGTCAGCTCAAGGCTGGGCAGGTTTACTTCTTTAAAGACCTACAAAAGAATCTTCTTGAGACGAAGAACAAATTTGTCGTCATGCTAGCAGAACTTTTGATAAAGCACAATCTGCTTTACCCTTAACAGATCTAGAAATTCTAGGAGTAATCAACTCTATAGAAAAATTTCAAATACTTCTTGATAAAGAATTTCTTAAAAGAACAGATTGTGATAACATAGTTAAATTTGCAAACAAAGCAAAGCAATAGCGGATGTCTGCAAAAAGATGGATTTCCTTTATTGATTGTATTACTGGAAGAGGTTTTAGACCTATATTTGAGCATGTCAAAGGAAAAGAAAATTATTTAGCAGATATTTTATCCCGTTTACTAATTAATTGTTAAATTTTGCAGGAATGGAAACCAAGAGCAACAATAGCTATAGCTTTATACTAGGCACTTCTAATCATCTTTTGATTATCCCAAACCCAGCTCAATAGTTCTGCGCTAGACATAATCTTTTTCGTGACCAAAAACTTATTTTAGATAATATTTAATTTTCTAGAAATAACCCTAATAGAACCCTCGTTAGAAATCTAAATATCTTAAGTGAATATTTTGTAGTATCTAATAAGGCTTATCAAACTCTACAGCAAGAATATGAGACGCTTATATCTCATTTAAAAAAAAAAAAATTTTGCTTATCAAAAAATGACAGCAAATCCCACAAAACTGACCATTGCTGAACAAAGGAATAATGAAGACGAAAATCTTCAGAAAGTTCAATTTCTACAGGTACAAACTAAGTATGCCAGGTTATTAACCCTTTTTTCTCCAACATACCGGGAAATCTTAAGACAACAAATTGAGCTCATCTTTCCTGAAGACATCAAAGAATTTATCCTTGAAGAAGTTAAGTCCAATGGTCTCAAAGAATGGATTGATATCCAGAATTACCTCAGAAACAACAGTTTACCTAAAGGAACTCGATACAATTATTTTTTCCTAAGATTTATACAATCCGGCACCCTCATACCTATGGCCATTATCCTGTTAGACATAGATATCGTTTTCTTCTATCCCTTTTAAAATAACCAGAAAAACTCTTTTTGCTTCAAGAACTACCACGTGTTACCTAAGCAAGTTATTAGAATTAGGAATGATCTATAGCATCACCATACCAAAAGATATGCCATTAGAATATCTAAATTCTTTAGGTAATTTTCCCAACCATTTAAACCAAGCCATTGCCTTCGAACAAAAACTAACCCAAAATTTCATTCCAGAAAGTCCAATTCTCCTTCAAATCCACAGTATTCCCCTAGAATGGGTAAAATATGGAGTTATAATTCTGGGACAGCACCGAATTTACATTCATTCTGATCCAACCGAAGTCAAGGTTCTGACACGACATGTCGACTTTGTAAATAACTTTCGTAATGATATAGATACAGCTACTTTAAACCATTTGGTGTATTATAAAGGTTATTATCAGGTTAACCCAAGCTATAATCCTGGTTTCAAACTCTATGATCATAACATAAATATGAAAATTTTCATCAAAGACAGAATTCCCTATCTTATCAAATCTCCTCTAGAAATTGAAATATCTCCAGAAGTTGAAGAAATTATAAATGAGGAAAAAATGTTGTTGGAATAGTTCGAACTTGCCTATAAAAATGAAGAAACCAACTCACCAGACAACACTGATGCATATGTGGCCCGCATGCACAGAGATGACATCTCACAAGATAGCACAACCGACAGAAATTTGTCCAATATGCAAGAGTTCTAAACGTATATAAAGAAAAACAGATTCTCCATAGTATATAGATAAAGGCAGCCTCAGCATCTAAGAAAAGCAGATTCTCAATAGTGTATAGATAAAACAAATCCGAAAGTAGATTTTCTACAGTATAAGTTGATAAGACTCTCCAGAAGCAGACATCAATAGTTCAGCAATAATTCAAGTTATCTTATCTCTAAAGCATCTTGAATCTCTACCGTCTATGCAGCATCTTCAATCTCAGCCGAAGATTTATTTCCCTCATTTCCTATAAGAAGAGCCTCTCTGATCAAGCAGGGGGTATCGGGTTTTAGAACAATCAAGTCTAGAACCATTAAGCATTCCAGCCTTTAGTTTCCAGTGTGTTATCTTTTGTGACTTCTTTCAGTGTGCTTCTTTTGTAAAATATTGTGTAAGAGTGTTTTTATGTATAAATAGAGTATATCCATGTATATTTTGTACATGAAATAAAATAATCCAGTTTGCCTTATTCCAAAAAATTTCGTTTCTTTATTTAGTATTTTCAGTACCTTCGGGTAAAAGACTTCCGTCGACAAAATGATCTAATATATAGATTTTATTTAGCCAGACAGTGTAGATCCTAGAATTTTCTTGCATCCAACCAGTACAAGCAGCCTTAGTTTTAAGATTAACAATTTCTTTTGTGAGTTGACTCGAATTGTTGGCTTGTTGGCCCGTTCTTGCCGGTGTTCAGGCGTTTTTACAAGGCGTTATCAAAGCGCTATTAGGTTCGGCAATCATTTCTGTGATTTAATTGTTAATTTTCTCTATATGATTAATTGTATGCTTCTATCCGGTTAGATCCAACTTAATTTTGGTATCAGATTAAATTTAATTTATATATAAGATCTTTTGTCTAAAGAAATCTATAAGTCCATATTAATCCATCTTAATTAAAAAGTAACAAAAAATATTAAATAGTTTGTTAAAAATATTAAATAGTTTGTTCAAGGATCTTTCTGTCAGCTTATTTTATGTTTTAAAGCTTTTATGATATAATAACATATTTTGTTGAGTCAAAGTAACATTATAAATTGTTGTGTGGTCTAAGTAGAAAACAATCCATTTTAGAGAAATAATTGAATAGTCTTTTCATTTGTAAGAAAAAAGTTGTGTGATCCCCTCATTTTCTTGATAAATTAAGAAGTTGACCTTATCTTTTGGTAGTATTTAGGCCTTAAGCCCATGTATTAGTAAAAATCCCTTAAACAAATACAATAAAAACACTATCAGGAAGTTTTACTTTTTAGAGCTTTCTTAGCTAAATGTAAATTGACACATACAATACAATAGTACACTTGAAATGGTTCTACATATATCATAACTCATAACATATTCATAAACAAATTTCTGAATCTACTCGGCTGTCAAGAAATACTTTTTCTTACTTAGGTGCACCAATTACATTTGTGTGGAGGGAAAAATCCCCTTCCAATAATAGTCGTCCACGTCATCACAATACAAATTTATACTTTCAATCCCTTACTATATTGTGAGAGCTCAATCATGGTCGAGCCCAAATTGAGTCTTCCTTTAGACCAAGATCGCTAGCACTAGCCTTTCAGCCCATTAATCAAGCTCAGTTGGCCCAAGATGTATCCGGTGCAAACTATTTAAGAATGAATAACTTCTACTAAGCGAATGATCCTGCACGAAAAGAAAGTTCTACAAAAGGAAGAATCTGACATGGAGATAACTGTAAAAGGCAATAATTTAATTAGTAAGGAATTGTATATGAAATTAATTGGAGGATAAGCAAGGCGAGTCCTACCATAATTCTACCACTTTTTTGTATATAAATAGAGGCTTAGTCCTCCAATAAAGATGATCGAGCAATATACGCTTTTCTCTCAGTAGTTCTTGTTAATGTTTATTTTTCTTGAGTGAGTTGTATTATTTCTTTAATCTTTTTTTACCAAAAGAAATCTTACACCTACATTTTGGCACCGTCTGTGGGAATCGTATAGAAATATACTCCCATAATTGATTCAAATCTTTTATGCTACTATGATCTGGAATGTCAATCGGAGGATCCGCAGCAACAGCTGATCAGCAGATGGGGTTGATGTAAAAGATGCGAGAAGAGTTCTTGCACCACTTTGAAATGCTTCGTCAAGTGAACAAGGCTAGCACGGCTTAGATTGCGTTGCTTCAGCAAAGAAACGATTCCCTTCAATGGCGATGGCTCAGATAGCACTGCAACCACCACCTAGTGATGCGGCAGGACCTCCCCCCAACCAAAACATTCCTCCGATTAACGAACCTCAGGCCAATGCGGTACGGCCTAATCAGGTCCGGCCTAATTAAGTTTAGCAAGAGCAGAGGATAGGAACTGAGGTGGTCACTTCGGACAATCATCCTTATCGCATGCAGGATGAACAGGCCGAGTCCAGCCATAAGCTTACGGTATGGTCTAATGGTATTCTGGATGGTGCTGGCGTATATGAGGCCTTTGATGAGAAGAGGCTCCTGAGGATACAGACACCCACCAAGATAGCCAGAGAGCATAAAAACTCTCTAATAAGGACTCCATTCAACGACGATATATACCTTGTTGACAGACCTAAGAAATTCACCAAGCCTTTTTTCACTCAGTTTGATAGTACAGGAGATCATTCTCATCACCTCGACCATTATTCACAGAAGATGACTCTGGACAATCATAATGATGCATTCACGTGTAAGGTTTTCCTGACTAGTTTACCGGGAGCCGCATTGGAGTGGTTCAAGAATAGGCCACACCAATCCATCCCAAACTACGAAACTTTGTGCGTTATGTTCCTAGCACAATACTGTGAAACAATAAGCAAAAGAAGACCATCTCTAGTCTCTTCACCGTAAGGCAAAAGAGAGGAGAAACGTTACAGGATTACCTGCCAGATTTAACATGGAGGCCTCAGAGATAGTAGATTGTCATCCTGAAACTGCTATAGAAACATTCAAGATCAGCATGATTCAGGAAACCAAGTTCCATACCTCCCTAGTCAAATATTCCCCTCCGGACATGCAAATTCTCAATGCTAGGGCACAAATCTACATTCGACTTAAGAAAAATGTAGCCTACCGAGCGCAACATGCCACCTTTGTCACGGTAGAAAATAAGCCTCTGGAGAAAGCTTCGAGTTCAAAAAGTCAAAAAACCCAGCATACCTCAACACCAGTCGCTCAGGTACCAGAAAAAAGGTTAAGGACAAAGGAGAGGTTCACTCCCCTGCGTACAACCCTGGCTTGGCTATTCCAAGAAAACAAGATGAGGTTCATAGCCTCCCAGCCAATAAGGCAACCCTTGGAGCAAATGGACAAAAGTAAACACTGTGCTTACAATAGGGATTGCGGACATACAACCAATGATTGTAGATCCTTTAGGCGGCAAGTGGAAAACATGATAACCAGAGGGGAGTTAGCAGACTACCTCACACCAAAAGAGCAAGTAAAGCCTCGGGAGATCAATCCTCGGAAAGTAGAAGGAAAGCAAGTGAAGGTTATCCATGCGATACATGGGAGATCAGAAGACAACCAAAAGTTAGAAGAGGTATACCGATCTAGACTGAGGACAAGCTACAAGCTAAGGAAGCTGTCCTCGGTAAACACTATCGCTTCAAGTCGTATCAGTATTGGGTTCGGTGATGGAAATTTATGCAGAGTTTAGCTTCCCTACGAGGATCCGCTAGTCATCAATCTTCTAGTGGCAAATTACATGATCAAAAAAGTTTTAGTGGACCCAGGCAGCAGCGCCAATATTATCACAAAGGTGGTCTTTGAGCAACTGAAGATCCTGTCATCATCAATTCGACCTACCTCTAGTCCATTGATGGGGTTTGATGGCATAAAGGTGGACCCCCTTGGGTGATTGATTTGTTCGTCACTGCGGTAAAAAGGGTATTGAAGGAAAACTTTATTTTAACAAAAATTCATCCTTCTTATAATCTCATTATGGGAAGAGGTTGGATCCACCGAATGAATGGGGTCCCATTTACCCTTCATCAGGTAATGCGATGCTAGTTTCCGGACGGTAAGGAGGTTATTAATCTTTGGGGAGATTAGGTCGCTGCCAAAAAATATTACATGATGACACTGAATGAAGCAAAGAAAATGATCAAACAGTCCCAGTCATATGCAATCCCCGGAGGTACTTCCAAATAGCAATTACAGAGCCCTCTGCCCAAGTATCTGAAAGCAGAAGAGGAAGCCAAAGCTACAAAGCCTACCGAGGAATCTCTCGAAATCGTCGAAGTTATCCTCGGTGATCCTCAAAAAATCACTTATATGGGCTTTTCCCCCATAGCCGATGTAACGACCCTGGATTTTTCAACCTAGTGTGTACTGTGATGAACCGAAAGTTGACCCTATAACGATTCTAAAATACGGAAGCAAAAGATAAATCCAAAGTCTATAGAGATGCAAACCATCCCCAAGACACCAATGTGACCTTCCATGAAGTCACGGAGCTCAAGGAAATAACCGGAAGCGAAAACTAACATGAAAGGGTCAAATGGTACCCTATGGCACCAATGACAACCAAACAGACAAATCTAGTTCAAACTAAACCAAGAACACCACTAAATGGCTTACGCAAGATTAACAAAATCTAGTAGGAAGGAACGAAGCGATAAAGGCCTGAAGAAACAATCAAAAAAACAAAACCTACAAGGCAGCTCCATTTCGGCCGATCGAAATGGAGCTTCGGTTTACCGAAATGAGCCAGGAAAAAAAAAGGAAAAGAGCCTTCATTTCGGTCGACTGAAATGACAAACCGGTCGACTGGTTTGTGGCTCGAAACTAAAAAAGGCTACTGGAATTGGACTTTTACTGTTCAATTGAAAACCAAAGAGCATCGGTCGACCGAAACAAGCCACCGCTCGACCGAAACAGGCTAAAAATGTGAAAATGAACCTGCTATGCACCAACACTGAAAAAGAGACTTTAAGTCTCATTTGAATCCCCCATAGTATGATCAAATTTCGTTCTATGCAAGTGTGTGATGATGTGAACATACACGCAAGTGTAATATGACATTTTAAACATGTTACAATGGCTTACGGCCTCATTACATTTCATTTACAAGATTTTACATGCCAAACCTCCAAAGTTGGAAAAAATTACATTTTTAAACAAAATATAGCGCCAAATGAGTACAAGTGCAAATATAAACATGTTTGGCCCTTGGCCTCATGTTATACATGTCAAATACATTACAAAAAGTGTACTTATGTACACATTATATATATGGAATCAAAGATACAAGTTTTAACATACAAAGATACAAATAGGACTTCATGCTAACATTTTCATGAGAATGATACTTCCAGTCTACGAAACTTCCATGGCATAGTGTGCATCCCAAGTCAAAGTCCCTGTACCTGAAAAATGTCCCCACTACGTGGGTGAGTAACGTAAAGCTACTCGTAGGAGATGAGCATGCATCGACCTAGCATTTTACAAAATTATCACCTTAAGGTGAAACATGTTAACGGGGCTCATGCCACCTAATGTCTATATCAAAGTAAGACTCAGGGATCATCCTAAGCTACTCATGCAATTGAAATGAACTTCGGCATACAAGTATACATGCTTAAGTACACTAAACCGTATTAAAATAAGATACACGACATTCAAGTACACATGCTCACAAGTATACTAAATCATGTTAAATGGGATAAGCAATATCTAGCATACATACACAAGTATAAGATATATGTATAGAGTTCTCATAAATCAAGTATACAAACACAAGTATACTAAGCTAAACAAAATACGCATAAGACAAGTATACATGGTACAAGTATACTGAGCTAAACAAATACGCACAAGACAAGTATACATGGCATAAGTATACTAAAATTAAACATGGAGCAAGTATACAGGTTCGAGTATACTAAATAGGATTCAAATATCCAAAGTAAGCATCAATTCTCAAGCTATAAGTAATCCATGACAACTTAAAATTAAATGCAAAATCAAATAGTGGAAAGACTAGGATCCTTGGCTACAGACCAATCGAGTTATTCTGGGTTATTAGCCCGTAAGGTACTACCTAGTGCGCATGTGTATAAGTTATTCCGGGTAATTACGACCCACAAGATACTACCTACTGCGCACTTCATATGACTTAGAAAACTCATAAATCCGTACTAGGAACAAACCCTAGCCATCACACGAACATGATCCTTACAAGCCTCCAAAAACAATAAGTTCAAAACTTATGCAAAATCAATAAGTTAAACCAAACTTATACATCTCAAATAATGTCTAGGAATCAATTTACATGCACAAGTAAGGTTGAATCCACACAAACCATGTCCTATAGTTCAAGTCTACAATGACATTCACAATGTCGAATCTTCAGTGTGCGATTCGTTACACGCTATGACAATTTCATTTCAAAATTAAAATGCAATCTCATCCGAACGATCCCTAATTCAAATATGTTAAACAACATGGTATGGTCACTACACAAACCAACTCAAAAGCTAGATTGGATCATTGAGACAACAAAATAGAGTTTAATTGAAACATGGTAATTAAATCTCTAGATTTTCTAAAACAACCCTAAATGGTCCCAAATGGATATATACAAGTGAACAAACTCAAGTCACTACCATTATCCAATTAAAACTCAATCAAACTAGTGGAACCATTAACTAGATTTTTAATTAATTCATTTAAAAAACGGTTAGATTTCGATTTCAACCTAGTTTTCTAACAAATTTCTCAACATGCAACAGCAAAAACTAATTAAATTTATGTACCCAAAGGTAGGGTCTCCTTTTGGCCACAAGAGATTAGTGAATCTTGTGACATATTCGAGGATTTATACATCTCCGATAGTCATGCTCTCCCACGGTGCTGTTGGCGACTGCACATTGTAGCCATCGAAGGACGTCTTAAAAGAGATTATTCATGATTTTGTTTGCAAAGGAAGTTCAAAGATCTCTTCTATTGCACCAAACATTGATTTTCGAAGCTGAGAAGGAACTTTGTTGAACAAAGCCTGGAAGCAACCTGTGGATATAATAAAGCCACATCACCCAGTCAAAATCTAGGTGGCCCCCACGACATCATTACTCCAAAGCAGGAAAGATAAAATCACAATAAAGTCAAAAGTTAGGGTGAGGAGTATAGCGACCCAACCATAAATCGTCGATCGAAGGACCCAGAACCTAGATCCGACCACGGTATGAATCGTCGATCGATGGGCCCAGAATCTCGATCCGACCCAACCATAAATCATCGATCAAAGGACCCAGAACCTAGATCCGATCAAGGCATGAATCGTCGATCGACGGGCCCAGAACCTCGATCCGACCCAACCATGAATCATCGATCAAAGGACCCAGAACCTAGATCCGACCAAGGCATGAATCGTCGATCGACGGGCCTAGTATCTCGATCCGACCCAAGCACGTATCATCGATCGACTGGCCTAGTACCTCGATCCGACCCAAGCACATATCATCAATCGACTGGCCTAGAACCTCGATCCGACTCAACCATGAATCGTCGATCGAAGGACCCGAAACCTAGATCCGACCAAGGCATGAATCATCGATCGACGGGCCTAGAATCTTGATCTGACCCAAGCACGTATCATCGATCGATGGGCCTAGAATATGATGGCCCAAGTTTTATAAACCCGGTGCGTCAGTGATGACCAAAAGATGACTTGATAACGGATCTGAAATGCGAAAGTGAAATCTGACCAAAGCGAAAGAAAGGAAAGGTTCTGTGGCATGAATGAGCACTAGCCCAATACCAAAGCACCGAAAGCTCGTTCGGCACTCATCAGTGCCGAGCGTTTGTTTAGCACTCACAAGGCTAAGCAACCATTCGGCACTCATGAAGGCTGAGCACCCGTTCGGCACTTATGAAGGCTAAGTACCCGTTCAGCACTCATGAAAGCTAAGCACCAGTTCGGCACTCAAAAAGGCTGAGCACCAGTTCGGCACTCAAAAAGGCTGAGCACCCGTTCGGCACTCATAAAAGGCTGAGCACCCATTCGGCACTCATGTAGGCTGGTTGTTCAAACCTATGGTCAAGTGTTCGGACTAAAGGTTCAAGCGTTCGGACTTGAATGGTCAGGCGTTCTGACAGCCTAACAACAAAACAAAGAACAAAATGAATTGGCCGAACGACAAAACAGAATGCTAAAATTTGCGAACGACAAAATAAAAAGCTAGTTTAAGGTTATACATGCATTCCCAATGATCTAAAACAAGTCTAAAACATACTTGTAGACTTTGAAAAAAAATGGCCCTTGGCCTCATATTTAACATACACATAAAATGAATGTCAAAAGGTGTGCTTATGCACACATTACATGTTTCGAATCAAATATACACATTTGACAAAAAGAGCTACAAATGGCATTTCAAGCCAACCTTTCACAAGAATTGAACCTTCAAGTCCACAAATCATCCAAGCATAACGAGAATCTCAACCTTGATTCTTGTACCTGAAAAATGTCCCCGGTAACTTTGGGGTGAGTAACATAAAGCTACTCATAGGAGATAAGCATGAAAGAACCTAACGTTTTACAAGTTTACATAGTTTAGTCATTGTGGTTCATTCCACTTAACATCTACATCGAAGGTGAGACTCAGGGAGCATCCTAAGTTACCTTAGATCATTTCTAGCATAAATCACATCATT